GCATGTGCTTTTCTCGACTACTCATCCGCCTTCAACACTATTCCGCGCCAACTCCTCCTGACCAAAGCAGCTGCGTGCGACACTCCGAGCTGGGTTGTTTCTTGGCTTAGAGATTATTTTTCCTCCCGCACTCAGTTTATCCAGTCGGGAAAGAGAAAATATTCTATTCTTCCAAACAATTGTGGAGTTCTACAAGGTTCCATCTTATCCCCTCATCTTTTCTCCATACATACTGATGATTTGAGATCGCCAAACGACTGCCTGTATGTTAAGTATGCCGATGACATGGTCGTAGGCCACCCACTCAAAAACCGGACTCATTTGCAGTCTTTAAAGGATGGCTTAGATCACGTCTCCGCATGGTCTTCGAATAATGGACTCCTACTCAACAATCAGAAATCAGTACAGTGTGTGTTTCGATTGCGACCCTCCCCCATTTCTGAACCTTTGGATATTCCTCCAATGAGCTATCTTCTTTCCGGTACCTAGGTGTTACTTTATCCTCAAATCTCTCTTTCTCTCTTCATATGGAAACCCTTTTAACAAAAATTCAAAAACTTGTTTATTACATTCGTCGTCTACGTTCATATCACACACCTCAGTCCTTAATCTGGCGATTCATAGATGACTGTATTCTTCCACTCATTCTTTATTGTTCTCCAGTTATTTTTCACTTTTACTTAAAAAAGATCTAAGTATTTTTAAACGTGTCATTCGAATGCTCGCCTCTGCTGCTGGTGTTGCCAATCATATTTTAGTTGATATCATCGTGCAGCGACACTTCCACTCGGTGGAGCAATTCCCTGACCGAATTCTGAATGACACCGTCCATCCCCTTCATAATGAGTTAATGGCTGCGAAATCCTTACGCCCCATGCGTCGATGCTTCCGCCACATCCCTTGCCGCACTTCGGCCTATCGGACTTCCATACTGCCATTTCTAGCCCGGTATCTCACCTGCAAAGATGTTGAAAAACAAAAACTAAAACTCGATCTTGCACCCTAAAGTCCTTTTTTTCTTCATATATAATTATGTCCACCTGTCCAATACCTGTTAATCTCTATGGTAATCACTGTGTACTGGAGAACCGTTTTTGCTGAAAGTTTTGAAAGTTATTTTAAAAATAAAGCATTCCTCTCTCTCTGTCAACTTGCATTTGAGCGAAGGGAATAATTAGATTTTAACAAAGATTCTAGCGAGAAGATTTATAAGACCGTTAATTGCTCGTTCATATAACATCCGGCTTTTGCTTTCACCATAATCACCTGTAGAGCTCATATTTGCCCTCCAACCCACTGCTATTATTTATGAAACACGACTGGTTTCCTCTTAATGGCCCATAAATTGTCTGATTTTTCGTACACAGAATATGTGCAGCTTATAGTGTGGAAACGACAAATGCAAGGACTCAAACGTATTCAGAAGTTAGAAAGCATTTTAAAACCGCATTTCACCATTCCTTAAGTATAAAATTTGAAGGAGACATGATTTGCTATCCAATGAGCAGGCGAATGAATATGCTTATGCATTCTTTATGACCTATACTTGAATTTATAAGGACATCGAAAATCAATTTTAGTAGCCAATTTTTGAGAAAGTTGTATTCTGCGTGCAGCCGGAAAGAGTAAGTTCAGAGGCCGGCATCCTGCGTGGTGCGAATTATCTTGAGATTATGCTACATGGTGATTACTACTACAAGCCAATTTAAGTATTTCGAGGTGAAATCGGATTAAAAAATTGCTTTTAACATTTCATCAGTTAGTACATGTACAGTACGTGCATGTTAGCAACGCATTAGATAAGGCTCCTGCGAAAGTCCGTATTAGAGAAAAGAATTGGACTAATTTTATACAGCACTGTGCTGGATAGCCGGTGATCACTACTGCAACCACACTTTAGCAATAATTTCCCAGCATTTCTAAAACTCGGCTAACAATTCACGAGTAAGCAAATTTACTGCTTCTCTTGAGAGCAATCTACGGCAAAAAGCAGACTAACAGCACATTAACAAATGCAATATCCTCTATCTGCCATGTTTGGCGCCAAATGCTTTGCTAGGGTGCGAACCAACACTGCTTCCAATGACAATTCTGCGGTCGAGCAAGCAAACGTCGCATCAAATAAGGCCAATGTCTAATTTTGGTAGGTTGCATGACACCTGCATCCTTTAAACACTGCAACATGTTCATGTCTATCTTCCTTATATACCGACAAAGACAAGCAAGACTGGAATGGTTATTTCTGTCTTATTAGCCGTCGTCAGCCAGTCATACCCAACCCCGAATTGCCGAAAACCTGGGACTCGAACTCGTGACCTGTTAGTTCGAAGTCCAACACCTCTAACCACTGGGCCACGGGTCCGTTGTCCAATTGGTTTCGATGGGGAATATACAATGGTAGAGGGACGCTCACCGATCCTTCTTATGGAAGTAACTTGTTCCGCTGTGCATTACGGGTTGTGTCTCGAGCCCAACCAGGAGCCGGACAGCGGCGCATGTTAAAGAATGTGTGGCTGCTGGTTAGGCCCGAAAGAGAGCTCGTAATGCACAACGGAAAAAGTGAGTTCCGTAAGAAGAATCGGCGAGTGTCCCTTTACAATTATAAATGTTACAATTGAGGAGGCTCTTCGGAAAAGTGGACTTGTACTCGTAAACTTTAGAGTTGGTAACACCAACCCATCGTTAGTGCACAAATTAAACAGTCCAACTTTACTATTTGGAAGAGCCTCTTCCACTTTTCATTATTTCAACTCGGTATGCATGCCACCTCTGATCCACATATATATATATATATATATATGTCCGCATCTGGGAAACCTATTGTAAATTATCGTACAATTTTTTAGTTTTTCGACTTGCTCCTCTTACAACCTAAAATTTGGGTAGTCTAAAATAGTCTACACAATCACTTGCCTTATTTTGTTTAATGCTGACATAGTTCAGAGGTGAGCCCAATACTCTTAGACGTTAGACTTCCATCTACATCCTAAATCAATAGGATAAATAGGCTTGAGGCAATCTGCCGACATCACTTTACGGAGTTGGTGTAATTCGTAGATTGCAATTCAGAAATTTCTAGTTGGCTTTAACCTAACAGTGTTTCTTGATAAACTGCGCATTCGAGAGCAGAAGAAAAACTGCTTGACAGACAAAAAGGATATTTCAATGGAAATTTTGGCTAATTGGCTGTCACCAACCATTCATACCCAACCTGAGGTTCGAAGATTATTAAACGCAGCTCGGACTATTTCGACATTGAGCGTTTAGTTCAACGTTCTGCTATGAAAGTACAGAATCAATGTTCTCTTGGTTGCGTTTCCAGATTTTGCTAATGCCATGAAGACGTTTGCATTACAAACAAACCTAGAATGCGCAAGGCATAAAAAGGGAAAAGAGGAACTATTCCAAATTTTGCAAAAGAAAACGAGCAACTGTTTCTTTGTTACGTTCTTTACTAGAAAGGTTGTTTAACTACAGTCTAGTACGTTTTATCGAGTCCGAAATATTGGCGGCCAATCATGCAATGCAATATCATGGATTTCCCGGATCTTCCTAGTTAGACTATTAATTATCTGTACCACTAACCCTGGGAGGTACTATTTGCAGGGGTAAAAAGAGCAATTGCCTTAACAGTTCGTGATCATTAGAAAGACTATATACTACTTGCGTTAGATTCCTAATTGTGTCTGTGGTTTATATTTGGCTTTGGCTTGCCCATGTCATCAGTATACGAAATACCAGAACGTATAAAACAAGCGACAAGCGTTACCCAGATTACTTGAAATTGATGACATTACCATATCCTATATTAAGTGTTGTAGTTTTTTATTGCAAAACATGTATGGTTGGGATCTGATGTTTTCCAAAGAGTCAGAAACAAATTTCAGGACCCAACTTTCAGTGACCAGAGGACCGAGGATATAGTTCTCTGTCATGCAAGCCCAGATCGGGTGCGGCTGACTATGGGTAGCTATTTAATCCGAAACGGCGGTCTTTCATTCTGCAGGCCTGCCGGATCAATACCACATGGAATATGCCCATCCGAGGGTCCAGTTTAAAAGAAGACGAAGTCTCGATCACTGGAAAGGTAGATTTACTGGTCTTAGCTTTCGAACGCGAGCAGGAGTTATTCATCAGAGACTGCTAGAATGCAACAACGTGTGAACATTCATGTAGCTGTGTCGTGAGTGGAGAGGGTAATACGTCGATGGCTAGGCCTGGTTTGTGCTGCCTGGCCCCCTGCGAGCTGGCGGCGTTTGTTCTTCGCGGCGATGTGAGCTGCGCCACCTTGCTGCGTGGGCGGAGAGCTTAATAACACGCAGGCAAATCAATGTGTCTATCGATAAATTTGGTGTCTGACACCTACGCCTCCAACTGTTTACGGCCCGTCTTCTATCCGGCTTTCGCCAATATCCGCGTGTTGGCGAAGTCGAACTCATGGCCTTCCTTCAGCGTGTGAGTGGCGCCTTGAGATAGAAGGTCGCCTCTCCTAATGAGCCGTTTGTAGTCACATTTTGATAAACATTCCTTACTTGAGCACCCAGTAGATCAGAAGGGGAAGAAAGCGCAAGCAGAGCTCGAAACAAGCCAAAGTAAGTGCATGCGAACTTGTTGCAACCGAAGGTGCAACTCGGGGGGAAACCGGAGGACACCAACAAACGCAAATGGCCGAACACCCTGCAACGGTGCGGGGAAATGACGCCAGCTCTCAAGTTGCGGCTCATTCGATGGGTTCCGGCCACACATTTAAATTTGACGAGGCCGAAATTTCACGCAAGAGGTGACAACCGCGTGAGCCGGGAGCTGCTTGGGTCATGGTTTACTGGCCCTCAGTCTATTAACAAGTGCAATGATCTTCCCATTCAATACACCGTGCTGAGAATTCGTCTAGGTGGGGCAATTGGTGCATGCGTGTAGCGCACATGTAAACACTCTTCCCAACATGCGCGCCAGCGTGTCAGATGGTCGAGCAATCATCACACCAGCATCTAACGCACGTGATGAAATTGCAGCAATTAACGGCACGAATATCGTCCAACTCGCCATGTGCAACGATCCCTGATGAAGTGGAGAGAGCCGTGAATATTCATAGGTATGCGGTAGCATTGCTACTGCATCCTATAAATACTGCAGTCGCATGTGCATGAACCATCCTTATCTGCTTACGTCTCTGAGGATGAATTCGAGCAGGAAACCGAATCGTCAGGCTAATAAAGCTCTTCTTCTTCTTGTCGCAACCGAAGGTGTTGTGTACACCCTCTCCTCACGGTTAGGCCAGTAGCTGAATGAAGGGGATAGGAGGGTCGAATCACAAATTGGAGGCGACTGAGAGAAGCGCATTTTAAGTCGCAGTACATGACCTCTTCAGGAGTACCTTCAGAGCTCTAGCTCGAAGTTGCCATAACAGACTCCGTCGGCTTTGTTAGAACTTTCAATCTATATGTGCAACTGACTGCCAAACGATTGTCCAAGGTCAATCTGGAATAACATCCCGAATGCTACGGAAAAAGCCCTTCATGATTGTCGAAAGCTGTCTGACAACTTAAAACTTACTACATGACGAGAGCGTTGGCCTCAGTAATGATTTCGCGGGCAGAGGATATAGAATGCAGTTATAAGGTGTCTCCAAGTGTTGCTAGTCAGAAAACGCTAATCGGCTGATGATCTGATCATTCTGAAATGCTTTTTAACGTAACTCTTTTTCTGCTAGGCAAGGACGCAGTATGTGATCCCAATTAAGAAACAAAAGCCAGGTCATCGTGATATATTGCATCAACACCTTTTCTATAAAAATCTCGTTCGCGCTCTCGTAGCTGGATGGAATTTTGTCTACGACTTTTGTAAAAATAAACTGAAATATCTGAAAAAAATGCCCAAAGTTTGCCTGCACCGGGAGATATCTTGATAATCTCATCATTCTCCATGATTGAAGCTGTGCTCCCTTGCAAGTTACTGTAGAGAAATTCAGCGAGACGACGCAATAAGCCACCACAACAAAATCATGGACTCTGGTTTTGCACACGCCAAATATTTGAAACGCGCGCCTTTGGCGATGCAGCTGACAGTAGAAGGAATGGAATCGTGCATACGCCTGCATCAGCTTTAAACAGGATCGGGTTAACTTAAGCTTCGCGTGTACCTGCCAACATCTAGTCAAGCCAGACATATTGACCTACAAGATGTGCTGACCCGATTGACGTGTTAAAATTTACCTGAATTGATAGACACAAAACACACACCTAGGCAAGCAGTCCCAGATGAATGTTGCGGTAGATGTAGCTCTTACGCGTCAGTATCGATCCGCCTTCGACTAAACTACAAATAATATTGATCCAACTCTGAACAACTGGGCGTCTCTGTGGGATTTTAACCCCCGACAGTAAGCCGAAAGCTTTGTACAACCAACACTATAACCAGTTGAGCTACGCGGCCCCACCGGACGACGCGAGTGTAATCACATTCGAGTCAGTTTACCCGCCCAAATGCGATTATACTCGCGTCGAACGCCAGGCTCCGTATCTCAGGTGGTCGGAGCGTTGGCTGCACTAAAGCCTTCCCCAGTTTTTGACAGTTGGGTCAATATGCATTGTCCAAAATCTACCAAAACGTCTATGAATTACGCGAGCCTGGTTGCCATCTGGTGAATTGTAAGTGATTCGCATAGGAAATTCTGCTTCTGTAGTCCATTTAAAATATCAGATTTGGTGGATTTCAGATGTTGCAGTAGGTTGTGCGGGTACGTCGACCCAAATGTAATTAAACTTGCGTCGTCTGGCGGGGACTCGTAGCTCACATGGTTATAGTGTTGGTTGTACTCAAGCCTTTCCCTTACTGTCGCGGATTTGAATCCCACCGAGGCGTCGAGTGTTTCACGGTTGGGTAAATGGAAAATAATTAAAAATCTGTCAAAAAACATCTATAAATCACAACTGTGTAAAAAACCGTTTCACCCGACAGATCTCCCTGTCAATTTTATTTGGTTCGCAATAAAGTTGAAGGAAATAATAATAATATTTTTTTATTTAAGACCCGCCAGCGACAGCGACCTTAGGACATTGTAAAGTGGCTGGTCATTTATTTACCTTGACTATGCCATGCGTACGAATCGGCAGAACGCGAAATGATGCTGTGAATTGAAGACCTTAACAAAGCGGCCCTGCATGTGGCGTTTGCACGCTTCTTTAATAGCAAGCCAGACTGCCTCGGAAGGACAAAAATATTTATCGGTTTTGTACGGTACATCTAATGCATGTTTCACGTACGTGAGAACGCTTTCCTCCTGAAGTCACACACTGTCCCTTATCAACGGCTAGAAGTAGGGCAATGCTAGCAAAGTGTCGTCCACATTTAGGGTGAACCACGTTTCTGCTAAAGAAATAACACCAGGGGATAGATTACAAAGCCGTATCTTCATGTTGTCGAGATTTGATTGCAAACTGTGTACGCTAATGAGTATTAGTTTTGATTTCCGGCTGATGAGAGATGTGGTTACATTTTGGTTAACGCCTTCACATAATATGTCGGCTACTCGGTAATTGGAACCGGTTCTGTCCAAAGAGATACTGAAGAATGCCGCCTTGCCTGACATTTACATATGACTAAATCGTCCTCCCCATCGCTGAGCCTGTTTCTCAGTTCCAGAAATAGTTGATGACGCTTCACCAAATTTACAAGCAAGTCGCCCGTTCGAAAAAAGAAACACCTGGCTTAAAACATTTATTTATAATTCATTAAGCTAAAATGTCCCATTCTAAACTTAACGTAATGATTGACCTGGTCGACTTGGGTAAAAATGTATTTTATTAATTTCTTATACGTAATTGCGAGAAACAATGAAATGTCTAGAAGGATATAGGTTTAAAAGGGGTTCGCGATCACCGCCCCTTCCGGCACCAGTCAAACGACTGTCCCGATAGTAGCTGGGGTCGGAGATTAGGAGTAGAGAGGAAGTTCCATAACTCGGCGCTTTTTCCGCACTATAAACAAACTGACGCTTTCGAACCTATAACCATGCACATGAGTTCCGTGGCTTCGATACCGCCTAATGACGAAATAACTCTGATTTTACAATCGGCCTAGTGTATGTGTTTACGTGCACCACCAAAACGGGCCACCTGTTAAATGCACTAAACCAACACGGGGGCCACATAGGATTCTGGCAAGCGTTATCTGTGCGCAATAACAAATGCCAACATTTGCAGGGTGCGCTGGCAGATCCTGTTATCGACAGTCGCCGCACAACTGGGACCCCTGCCATCACTCAATTGTTTTGTGCTAAAAATTCTGGTCATTAGTTGCGTGGACCAGGGGGTGCGGAGTCTAACGCCAAGGTGAGGATCCGTCCGAGTCATCCACTTGCGGCCTCCCTCATCTCCGGTCTTCTTGACTCTGTCTTGACACCAGGCTTTTGCGGGGGAGGAGGAGAGAGTGTAAGTAGATGCAGCAAAAGTCTAGTGAAACTATAAACTCTGCTTTGAGGCACACGGTGGATATCGTCGAAATCGACGGTCAAACTGTCGTCTGTGTGTGTATGTGTGTGTGTGTGTGTGTGTGTGTGTGTGTGTGTGTGTGTGTGTGTGTGTGTGTGTGTGTGTGTGTGTGTGGGGTGTAGGGGTGACCAGCGGTGGGTTCACGTGATGGTCGTAGTGGTCGCTCACTTGCTTGCAGGTGAGACTACACCTAGCGTCCATTTGCTGGCACCCAACTCTCACCTGTGGCTCCACGTAGCTGGGCTCTGCTCAGCGGCCACACCCCGGGCAACCGTCTCGACCGGCGGGCTAAACCAGGTGAGGGCGCTGTGCACTTGTGCCGAGTGCACAGCGTACCGCGGACTCTGCCGGATGGATGGTCGGATGAAACACTGCGCCGGCATCGTCGAGACGAGGCTCTGCCTGGTACGCCGTTGGATAACTGCTGCCGGGACGAGTCTCTGCATCGCCTTCGCTGAGACGCGCCCACCCCCGCCGACGGAGACCGCGGACTCACGGCACATGCGGTCGTTCTCCACTACGAACATAAAAGTCGTGGCCCCATAGTGGGATTCGGTCGCGCCAACCAGGCACATGGGCAGCCCGATTCAGGGACGGCACTGCCTGCCCCCGCGAGGGGAAGGGCCTAGAAAAGGTGGTCTAAAAAATGCTGGGCACCACGCCGTCTGCAGGCCAGCCAAGGCCGCAGATGCCATCAACACGGTCGAAACACTCAAAATCGAAACAACAACAATACCAATTACAACAACCATACTCCTTCTCCTCATCCTACCTCTTCTACCTCAATCACCGTCTATTCTTCTGCCTATTCTCCTCCTTCGTCATCCTCTTCTCCACCTCCTTCCCGTCGCCCCACTCGTTTTCCCCAGACTGACAGGGTGAGCCCGCTCACTCTGGCAGCCTGGAATGTTCGTTCCCTTTTAGACAATCCGAGGAGCAACCGACCGGAACGGAGGACGGCGCTAGTGGCACGAGAACTGGCGCGCTACAAGGTGGACATCGCCGCACTCAGCGAGACCCGATTCTCCGAGCAAGGTCAACTGGAGGAGGTGGGTGCCGGCTACACCTTCTTCTGGAGTGGTCGACCCAGGGCAGAGCGACGAGACGCGGGTGTCGCCTTTGCCATCCGGACTGACATCGTGGGACGACTACCCTGTTTGCCGCAGGGAATCAACGACCGCCTAATGAGCCTCCGTCTGCCTCTCCGGCGAGGAGGCAAGTTCGCCACCATCATCAGCGCCTACGCTCCGCCGATGACCAGTTCCGACGCCGTCAAAGACAAATTCTACGAGGACCTGCACGCCCTCTTGGCGACTGGGTCGAAGGCGGACAAGTTGATTGTCCTTGGTGACTTCAACGCCCGCGTCGGCACAGACCATACTGCCTGGAGGGGAGTGCTGGGTCCTCACGGTCTCCGCGGCTCCAATGACAACGGCCTGCTTCTCCTCCGCACCTGCGCAGAACACCGCCTCACCCTGACGAATACCTTCTTCTGTCTGCCGGAGCGAGAGAAGGCCACCTGGAGGCATCCTCGGTCGCGTCAGTGGCACCTGCTGGACTATGTCCTCGTCCGGAGGCGAGATCAGCGGGACGTGCTGGTGACGAAGGCGATCGCGGGTGCTGACGGGTGGACCGACCATCNGCTGCTATCTATGAAGCCAACCGAATCGCCGCCGCCAAAGCGAAACGCGAAGCCCGCAAATCACAACTTCGCCCAGTCCGCAACGCCGCCGCACAACCGCTCCCAACGTGTCCTCGATGTCAACGGACATTCCGGGCACGATTCGGACTTGTTGGACATCTCCGTACCAACTGCACCTCTCGAACTGCTCCAGCCATCGTCCCCCCGCCCGCCTCTTCCTCGCCCTGTCTGCCGCCAACTAACTCTGACATTCCTTCTGCACCACCAATTCCATCCTCCTCCACTGCCCCAGCGGCGGATGTTCAGACTGCCGTCACACACATCACCAACCCCGACACAACAACCGACATCACCACCCACACCTCTCCCGATTCCAGTGATGAGGGTCAGGACTACACCTGCCCTCACTGTGACCGCACCTTCACCTCACACATCGGCCTGGTCGGTCATTTGCGAATCCATCGCACAGAGACTGGCGAACCAGTGCCTGGAGCACCAACCTACACCCGCCGCACTCGTCTCCACTGCCCACAATGCCCTCGCACCTTCAGGCATCGCATGGGTCTATTCGGCCACATGCGCATCCACGAGAGCGGAATTGACCGCAGCCTTGACACACCCACCCCGCCAAGCCCAACTCCCAATCCATCATCTTGTGCACCCACTAACCACTCCCCAGCCGACATCGACGCCACCGACCTTACCACCCTCCACTCCTCCCCTTCCTCCTCCTATTCCTTCATCACTGCCACAACGACGGCCGCTTCGGCGTCTGTCGCCCACGACTTCACCACAGCCGCACCTGACACAACAACCGGCACAACCCCTGCAACCTCCATCATCAGACGTGAGGGCCAGGCCTACATCTGCCCTCACAGCGATCGCACCTCCACTTCACGCATCGGCCTGGTCGGTCACTTGCGAATCCATCGCACAGAGACTGGCGAACCAGTGCCTGGAGCACCAACCTACACCCACCGCACTCGCCTCCATTGCCCACACTGCCCTCGCACCTTCACGCTTCGCATGGGTCTATTCGGCCACATGCGCATCCACGACGACCTGCGGTAGACAACCGCCGGTCACACCACACATTCCCTCACCCCCTACCTCCTAACACCATCACCCCACCAGACATCAACCCTCACACACCTCATGCACTCAACTGCCGCCTCCCACGCAAGTGGGAAGTGTGCATCTCGACTCGGTCCCCATGCGGTTTCGGCTGCACGGGTGACTTGCGTCCGAGACTATCCCGACACGTCAAGTGTCGTGGATAAGAAGGTTGCTGATTGAGGCCCGCTCTCGGTTCACGCAGTTCGTCACGTTGTGTGTGTGTGTTGTGTGGAGTGGCGGACTGGTGGGCTGGGGACGGGCTGCAGCAGCACCTTCCACGTCACTCTCACGCAAGTGGGAGACACGCCGTTCAACCCCCGTTGTGTGAAATCCTGGTGTTTGTGTGTGTATGGGGGGCCAGGTCGTGCTGTGGCGCGCGCAGGCATGGTCAGTCGACCATGTCAGCCACCGCGCCCATTCCCCACTCCAGTCTACTGACCGGCTCGGACAGTGGCTGGGGTGTGGGAATGGGAAGGGAGAGTGAGGTCGACGACTCAGCGCATTTTCCTCACTATAATCAATCTGACGCGCTTGAAGCTATCACGGTGCGCTAAAAGCCGTGGCTTGGAAGGTTGCCAACTGACGGGGTACCTTGGACCTCCTCCTTAACGGGAGGCGGTCTGAGAGTCAGGCTGCAATGGCTCCTTTTTAATGTGGCCTTTATGGCATTCCCACCACAGTGTGGGATCCGAGCCAGGCGTTGGCGGCACGCCCAGGTGCGGCTTCGGCCGTGCCAGCCTCCAAATCTCTGTTGTGTTGGTTGGAATCCTGGTTATTGTTGTGTGGACCAGGGGGTGTGGTGGAACGCCAAGGTGAGGATCCGTCCGAGCCATCCACCTGCGGCCTCCCTCGTCTCCGGTCTTCTTGACTCTGTCTTGACACCGGGCCCAGGCGGGGGAGGAGGAGAGAGTGTAGGTAGATGCAGCGCAAGTCTACCGGCACTATAAACCCCTGCGCAAGTCACCGTCCCTGCTCCCAGCGCTGCTGCAGCTGTGGGGCACACGGTGGTCATCGTCGAAACCGACGGACGAACTGTCGTCGTCGTGTGTGTGTGTGTGTGTGTGTGTGTGTGTGTGTGTGTAGTGGCCGACTGGTGGACGGAGTGCGAAGCTGCAATGGCTGCCGCTGAAAGTAGTTCTGTTGTTTTATTTGCAGTGCGTGAAGCCCCGAGCAAATGCTTATCGCGGCCAGTGTCTGGGTTGGTACGCAGTGCCAGAAATTTGCGCTCCTTCCCGCCTCCGGTCTTCGTGAATGTACCATGACACTGGGTACAGGGGCAGACGCAGTGCATATCTACTGTTACCGTAGGCCAACAAGGCACACATATACGATAAAATCTCTGGTTGAACAGTTTTTTGAAACAACAATTATATCTTTGAATTTCCCATTCTATTAACGATCAAAAACATTTTAAAAAATGGAGCGTATGCGACGAAATGTGTATAGTGTCTATTATAAAAATGTGTTTGACCAAGAATACACATGCTACAAGGCAGAATACAGCTGGCACGGCCTGACAATCGTTCTGCTTCGTATGGAGGATATTAGTCATGTGGAACATGAGGTGGCTAATGAAATGGCGGACGCTTCAGACACAAGAAGATCCAGGGAACGCAGTGCCTCTTGCTTCCACGGTGATAGACTCTTCCAACCCTTTCTATAGACATTACGCCGAAGGCCATTGAAAATGAATCCGGTAAAATGCAATACGCTGCGTTCAGCCAGTGCACTGGAAACAAGCAGGAAGTCCGCAATCGCGTACGCATTTTCCACGTTAAAGGTGAATTGGTCCATATTTGCAGACTGAGTTATCAGTTCTATGATAGGATTCACTGTCACCTACAATGTAAACAGGAAAACATTACAGCTTGCTCATACTCCAACACATGTCTATTAATACTCTCACTTTCATAGTTTGAGAGAAATTTATATAAATGCCAGGTGTAAACCGAAAAACAGATAAGCATATGTCGGCATTTTATGCTGCGTTTCCTAAGTGACGGACGCTGGGTTTCGCGAACAGCCAAAGTATTTAACCCCAGTGGCTAATTTGTTCCAGAATAATAGATGCAATTACTGAAAACCACATCTAACATAAAAATGCCATCTGCTTTTTTAATTTCCACTCTAGTCATATTCAGATCTAATCGAGTTCAGCTACCTTTATTGACTACATTAGGTTTTTTTATCAACATAGCCTATAGAAGTGTCCTGCTAGAGTTTATTCATTAACCATTTTAATCCTTGTAGTCATGCCCTCTGTGCGCAAAGTGTAAGTAGATGTTTTTGAATGTAAGGCAGCAATAAAAAATCAAGTAAAAGTGTTTACTCCGTGAAGCAAATGGATGTTCATGCGAGGAAATGTGGCATTGCATGCCAATCTGAAGACGCGTGCATCGACCGCTTGGTATACAACATAGCAAGAATGTATTATTGGTTCAGATAAAACACGTATGTGTAAGTTTGTCTGGATACCACCAACGTGCGGTTTGTGTACACTAAACGCAGGTTTCCGGCGGAGTCGATACTGTAGGATGTCGGCAAGGCGCAAATTTCCTCGGGTACTTGGACAAGGTGTTAGGGCTACAAAGTTAACAAATGTGGGCTTTTTGTTAGTATCACGGCAATGATCCCCTGCCGAAATGCAAGATATCGTGTGGCTTAATAAAACACCTGTCCTCAAGGCGTCAACAAAAAGTGAAATATGATAATAAAGTAGTGGTATGTATTACGTTCCAACAGCTAAACTGCCAATTTCTTGATTACTCCTCCGCATTCAATACCGTCCCGCGCCCTCTTCTCCTTACCAAAACCTCCGCATGCGGCTCTCCAGGCTGGGTCGTCTCCTGGCATAGAGATTATATTACCATCCGCACTCAATTTGTCAAATCAGGCAAACGGAAATCTTCGACCCTTCCCAATGACTGCGGTGTTCTTCAAGGGTCCATTCTATTCCCTCACATTTTCTCTCTCCACACTGACGAGCTAAGGTCACCTAACGACTGTCTTTGGGTCAAGTACGCTGATGATGTGGTTGTTGGACACCCTCTCAAAAGTCAGACACACCTCCGGTCTCTAAAGGATGGCCTAAACCATGTCCTAGCGTGGTCGGAGGAAAATGGTCTCCTAATTAACAACCAAAAATCCTTTCAGTGTATTTTTCGAATGCGGCCCTTTCCTAATCCTGATTCTTCTGACATTGTTCCTAACGAAGTATCCTCTTTCAGGTACCTCGGCGTTACTTTGTCCTCAAATCTTTCAGTTTCACTCCATATTGAGTCCCTATTTATTACAGTTCGTAAACCCCATTACTACGTACGTCGTTTACGTTCCTACCACACACCTCAACCCTTAGTCTGGCGATTCATTGATGTCTGTATTTTTCCTCTTATCCTTTACTGCTATCCAGTCATTTTTCCTGCTTTGCTAAAAAAGGATCTTTTAATTTTGAAACGAGTCCTCCGCATGCTCTCTTCTGCTGCTGGTGTTTCTTATCTTTTTTAGTTAACACTATCTTACAACGACACTTCAATGCGGTCAAGTAATTTGCTGGTCGAATTCTAGATGACGTTGCCCATCCCTTACATTCTGAACTTATGTCTGCGAAGTCTTCCCGCCCGATGCGTCTCAGCTTTCGACATATATCCTGTCGCACATCGGCTTATCGAGGTTATCTATTGCCATTCCTAGCGCGCTATCTTACGTGCGAAGAGATGGAAATAATAAAGCTAAGACTTGAACTATCCCTACAATGATCGTTTCTTTGACTCTTGAATAATCTCTTAACTTATTTACTGCACATAGTGAACGGAGCTAATTTTTCGCCGAAAATTTTGAACATGCGATTTTACAGTAAAGCCGAGGAGCAAGCGTGTACCATTAAAATGGTTAGTCACATTGATCCACGAATGGGCGTTTTCGTTGTCCTGAAATATCGCGCATGACTCCGTACTGTTGACTATGTCAACAGATAAAATACGCCTACTTACCTTCTTAATATCACAGAAAATTATGCTTCGGTAACAGGAGTTCTGCACTTTTATAAAAACATTTGTACATGAATAAGGCTATATTTTGCAACAAGTCTAAGCAACTCAGTTCATTCCCACAGTATATTCCAAAATTCATACAAAATACCCGGGATTTAAATAAAATGTCGCGACCTTACTGCACCATTAATTTTAATTACAATAACAACTTACACATGTCATCGTTGTATTTGCAGGCTCTGAGTAGACACGTGTACGTTACGATCGTAAATAGTGTGATAGTTCCCAAAGAAAGCATTTGCCTGCGTAAGTTGAAAACTGCTTTAGAGGTCTTGAGCACAGCTTTATATGGCGAGGATGCTGGCTAACGCAAAAGAAGCATAATTCTTCTTTTAGGACAGCCAGTGATTGGCGGTTGGCCGTTTGTGTTAGTGTGGCGTGAATACAGGGTGCTCTATGTGACTTAGGTACTGACGTACAGGTCATTCCTTTACAAAATAAAGCAAACCCACCGCCTGGCCTCTTTAAGACTGCATATTGGAGTGTCTGCTGCCCAACATTACTAGTAGCATATTTTTTAGGGTAGTAGGCAATGCCCTTGATAAGCCTATTGAAACCTATGCATACGATATAAATAATAAATATACAACCTACTAACAATTTGGTAGTAACATGTTATTTACGGAAACTGTTTTTACAGTGCTGGACTACGAAGGGTGCAGCAGACGGTCTTCTTAATGTACATATGCAATTTTAAGTGCAATTATATACAATCAGCACAAAATGCAGTCACTTGTGTAGTTCGCGTGGGAAAAATTTCATGAAACTTCAGGGATACTTTACATAGGGGTGACATCAGGAAATGAAATTTATGGCTGGGCTCAGACAATTCTGCAGTGAGAGTCGTTCTTTCTCAAAGATTAAACGATCCAGCTGTCTTTTGGATAAGCCATTGTATCAAACGAC